TATATTTTTTTAAAATTTTTTAAAAATTGGACCCCTGTCTCACACCGTACACAAAAATGAACTCTAGGTACAGTAGATATTTATTTATTTTTTTAAATATATTTTATTGATTTTGTACAGAGAGGAAGGGAGAGAGATAGAGAGTTAGAAACATCGATGAGAGAGAGTCATCGATCAGCTGCCTCTTGCACACCCCCTACTGGGGATGTGCCCGCAACCAAGGTACATGCCCTTGACCAGAATCAAACCCGGGACCCTTCAGTCCCCAAGCTGACGCTCTATCCATTGAGCCAAACCAGTTTCGGCTAGGTACAGTAGATATTTAAATGTGAAAAAGCATCTCTGTTTTTACAGATCCCTTTTAAATGAATCTTTATTTAATTTCTTTTTCTATTTTTGAATAGATCTTAATGTTTATGTGGTTCAAAACTCAAAAGCAGCAAAAAGTATGCAGTGAAAAAGTCTTCCTCCCTCTCTGATCTTTAGTCAGGAACTTCACTGCCTGGAGACAGTGGATGTTAATCTCTTTCCCGTGTGTCCTTTCAGAGGTGGTTTTGATGCTTTAAAAAGCAAACACGAACACACGTACACAACAGGAATAATTGTGTTTCAGAAAAATGTGTAGATGGATTATCTTTGTGATCTCTGGGTAGGAAATATATTTTTAAAAGACAATATACACCAAAAGAAGCACAAATGATAAAAGACTGATAAATTTGGCAATAAAATTAAAAAACTAGTTTTCATGGAAAAGTACCATAAAACAAAATGAAAAACAAGCCACTGGGAGAAAATGTTTGTAACACAGGTAACTGATACGAAGAAATCACTGTGCTATAGGAAGAATTACAAATCAATAAGAAAAACGATTCAACAGAAAAATAGGGCCAGGTAATTCACAGAAGACAAATCCTAAAAGATGCTTTGTCCTCACCAATAACCAGGGGAAGGCAAGTTAAAACCATAATTGTGCTTCACACTCATCAAATGGGCAACATTTAAACATCTAACAAAACCAAGTGCCGGCCAGGGTCTCGGATGCCCTGCTGGCCAGCCAGTTTGAAAAAACCATCTGAAACAGACGGCAGCATTGTGCATAGCTGTACGTGGCAGCCCTGGCAGATACAGGTGGGTGAACCCAAGCCCACAGCTAAGTAATTCCACTCCGAAGTATGTGAGCTGAAAACACACCACATAGTGCACAATCAAGTATGCAAAGAATGTTCTAGAAGCAGGATTTGTAAAGGCAAAAAATAATAAGAAGAAAATGGGAGCTCCCTGCATATCCAGCAGCAGGAGACTAACTACAGGCTGTAAAAGCCTACAGCCTGAGAAATAACCGAGGGAAGCCATTTAAACCAACACAAATTTACCTCACCGTGTGGAGTGATACAGATTACAGGAGCATGCCAACAGGATGATGCATTTACGGAAGGCTTAAAAGCACACACAATGATAGCGTAGACCACTAATAGATAAAAACTCAGGTAGTGAAAATTGAAAAAATGCGTGAAAATGAAAACCAAATTCAGGATGATGGTCGGGGGGGGGGGGGGGGGGGCGGGGGAAGGACTGGGGGACGGGAATGGAAGCCTGTCGCTATGCGGAGACTATTTTTCAAGCTGAGCAGTGGCATTATGCAATTCGTCACACCGTTCCGTGTGTCCCAATGCCTTCTCTTTCCCCCGATGACCGTGACAGGAGTGCTCCCTCTCCTACTGAAGAGCCCCCCACCACCCCAGCCCCGTGTTCTTCAAGGGCTGAGCTCCTGCAGGTAGCCCCGCTCCTGAAGGGTCCGTCCACAGCCTTTGTAAAAGCGTGAGGCTTGGCCCTGGCCCGTGCTTCTCTGGCTAGAGCGTCAGCCCACGCCCTGAAGGGTCGCAGGCTTGATTGTCAGTCAAGGGCATGTACCTGGGTTGCAGGTTCGATCCCCATCCCATTCAGGATGCATGCGGGAGGCAATCAATCATAGTTTCTCAATCTCTTTTCCTCTCTCTCTCTCTCTCTCCATCTCCCCCGGACCCCCGACCCCCACAACTTCCTTCCACTCTATCTAAAATCAATGGGAAAATATCCTCATGTGAGGATTAATAACAACCGAAAAAAAGCCATTTTCTCAAGACAAAACTCCAGGAACTTGAAGGATGAGCCCCACCGCCTTGGCCTTTCACGTCCCTCACCTCCCACACAGTCTGTCTGTCCACAGATTCGATAACATTCAGCTGCAAAACACGTCTGAGTTCGGACCACTCTCCTCCGCAGCCAACACCCTGGGCCAAACATCTCTTTCCTGCTGACCTGTCTCCCTGCTCCTGCATCCATCCCCCTACAATCTGTCCTCCAGCCAAACCAGCTTCTAGAATTTAACGCAGACCGCAGCACCCTCCATGGAAAGCCTGCCACAGCGAGTGAATTATTGCCATCCACAAGAACACAGGTGAACACACACACGAGGTTGAATGAAAGAAGCAAGACAGAGAGCACTGTAGGGCTGTAGGATTCCTTTATGTAAAACCCAAAGCCAGGGAAGACAAATATGCTATTGGAAGTCAGGAGGGCCCGGCCAGCGTGACTCAGTTGTTGAATGTCAACCTATGAACCAGGAGGTCATGGTTCAAATCCCAGTCAGGGCACATGCCCAGGTTGTGCATTCAATCCCCAGTAGGGGGCTTGTAGGAAGCAGCCGATCAATGATTCTCTCTCATCATTGATGTTTTGATCTCTCTTCCTCTCCCTTCCTTTCTGAAACCAATAAAAATATATTTTAAAAAAATAAGGCCAGCCGAAACCGGTTTGGCTCAGTGGTAGAGCATCGGTCTGCAGACTGAAAGGTCCCAGGTTCGATTCCGGACAAGGGCATGTACATTGGTTGCGGGCACATCCCAGGTAGGGGATGTGCAAGAGGCAGCTGGTTGATGTTTCTCTCTCATCAACGTTTCTGGCTCTCTATCCCTCTCTCCTCTTCTCTGTAAAAAAAAAAAAATAAATAAATAAATAAATAAAATATATTTTTAAAAATAATAAAATTTTTAAATGAATAAATAAATAAATAAAATAAGGCCGGAACCTGTTTGGCTCAGTGGATAGGACGTCGGCCTGTGGACTGAAGGGTCCCTGGTTCAATTCTGGTCAAGGGCGCGTACCTTGGTTTCGGACACATCTCTGGTGGGAGGTGTGCAAGAGACAGCCGATCGATGTTTCTCTCTCACTGATGTTTCTAACTTAACTCTTTGTCCCTCTCAATTCCTCTCTGTAAAAAGTTAATAAAATATATATATTTTTTAAAAGAAATCAGGAGGCTGAATACTGTTCCTTGATCTGAATGCTGGTTGCAACAGGGGCATTTTGGTTCATAAACAAATTCATTAAGCTTACATACAGTTATGACTGTGTACTTTGCGTACTATATTTCAACCCAAAACGTTCGCATGTTTGTTGTGCAGACTGCTCCGCCGCCAGCTGTGGCTGCAGGAGCAGGGATCTTGCCTGCTTGTTGGAGTCACTGCACCCCCAGAGCTGGGCGGGCTGCGGACACACAGGAGGCGTGGCATTCGGTGTGGGAGGACCTAGGAGGCAATGGCGTGACCCTCAGGGGGGTGCCTGGATTCAAACCTCCTCCTCCCTCCCTCCACTCCAGCCCACAGACCTTCTGGAACCTTCTAACTGCGCTCCCACCTCGGGATCTCTGCACTTGCTATTCCTCTGCCAAGACACTGTGGAAGGCTTTTGATTGAGGGGTGCCATGGTCTGGTTTAAGCTCTTCCCCCCCCCCATTTCCACGGTGTCCCCCTCATCCCTTCAAGTCTCACTCCCTGCTTTCTTCTCATCCATCGCAGCGCTGATCACCCTCTGAGATTCCAGATAGTCCACTTGTTTATTCATTACCTGTTTGCGAGGAGCGGGATTCCATCCCTCAGTTACAATCGGTTATAATCACCGCCCTTCAGGGTGCAGGTGCTGCTGCCACAGGGACCCCTGCGCTCGCAGACAAGGGCCCACCCACATGGACACCCGAGCTGCCCCTGCCCTGTGCCAAGGTGCCCCCAGCCACTTCCCCCAAATCCAGGGGACCGTCTCCAGCTGGAGCCGCCCCCCGGCTGGCGGGCGCCAGCTCCTGGCAGAGGGGCCAGCGTGTAATTAGAAACTCCTCAAGCTCCCTAATTGCCGGTTCTTCTCCCCAGACAGGAGGCTGGTGCTATTCTGAGCAGCCCTTGTTGCGGGCCGCCTGCTGCGGCCTGTGGAGGGGGCAGGCTGAGAGCAGAGCCAGGCGGTGGCGCCGTGGGGAGGTGCCCCCCCCAGAGGTCAGGGGGGCCTGCACAGCGGAGAAGGTCTGGCAAGCAGCCAGAGACCAAACGTGGCACCGAGAGGGCGGCTGAGCCTCAGTCCGGTCTCTCCGTGGCCTCCTCCCCCCACCTCCCTCCAGGCCCCCCGCCCCCACCCGTGCCCAGAACAGTGACACCAAAGCGGCCCATTCATTCTTTATTCGGGTAGCATAAAAATCACTACAAAAACTTTACAAAAGAGCCCTCAGGAGCTAATGCCACCCCCCTCAGCCCCTCCAGGTCCCGGGCAGAGGAGGAAGAGGAGAGAGGAAGGAAAGGGAGTCCGGGCAGCGTGGGCATCACGAAGGACCAGTGGGGGAGGCTGGCGGGCCTTGGGCAGGCGATGGCAGGTGCAGAGCAGGACGAGGCTGATGACCGCGGTGTCTGACCCCAGGACAGTGCTCTGCCCCTGAGCCACCCCGGGGCCCATCCCTCCTCCCCCAGCCAGGGCATTCGGCCCCTCCTGTCCGCCCTCGGGGAAACAAAGGTGAGTAAGGAACAACCCACCTACCTTGCTGACCAAAGTGGGTCCACAGCTGCCCCTCCCCCAGCCCCGCCCGCCCCCCAAGAGGAGATGGAAAGAAGGCTCCTCCCGCCCCCACAAAGCTGTTTGGAAAGAGTCCCGTGAATTGAGAGGCCGGCCCAGGCCGGGGCCCAGGATGCTGGAGCCCACCGCCCTCACTTGGGGCTGCTGAACTGGGGGTAATCCTCCTCGGGCAGGGGCTCCAGTTTCAAGTCCGGGCCGAAGGGCTTGTCGCCGCGGGCGAAGGCGTTCAGGTCCTCGAAGAGGTCCCTGCTGTCGGGGGAATCCTGCTGCTCCGTGTGCTCCCGCTGCGCCCCGGGGCTGGGGTTCCGCACGCTGCCCACGAAGAGGGGCAGCCCCGTGGTGTCCTCGAGGATGAAGAAGAGGAAGGGGCGGTTCACGCTGAAGGTGGAGAGGGACATGCGGGACATGGCCAAGCTGGTGGCCGCGGCCGCCTCCACGCCGGCCTCGCTGAGCTCCATCGTGGACTGGTGCTGCACGCTGGACACCACCAACCTCTCGTCCGAGATCCCGCTGAGGTCTGGGTTCTGAAACAGCTCCTGCAGGCCTGCCCGGGGTCAGAGGGAGCCGGTCAGCGGTGCCTTCCGCCCGGTAGGCTGCCTGCACCTGCCCGGGAGGGCATCTGGCATCCTGGCCAGGAGACACCTTGCACCCACAGATGCCTGGTTAATTCCCACTTGATCTTCAAGGATCAGCTTAAAGGTCACTTCCTCCAGGAAGCCCTCCCAGACCCCCAGCTCCAAAGTCCATGTTCTGAGGGAGCTGGAGAGAAGCCCTCTGTTCTATCCCGTATGCGGGACTCTAAGTCCTGGTTCCTCGCCCGCCCTCTCCATGAGACCGAGCTCTTTGTCCATGGAGGGCTCTCCTGCCCCCCAGGCTCTCCGCCTGGGATTCTCTGCCACACAGTGGGGCAGAGCAGGTGGTCCTAGGACAGACAGTCCCGGGACTCACCTCAAACCCTCTCGCCTCCGTAGGCCTCAAAAAAAAAAAAAAAAAAAAAAAAAGGCCAGAACGCAAGGCTAGCTTTGTCTCCTCATCCACACCGCCCAACCTGGCCGAGGCGGCTGTCCCAGGTGCCCCCTTACCCAGCTGGCTGAGGGTGGCCATGAGGTCCAGCTGGTGTTTCAGGTGCAGCTTAGGCAGCTGGACCTTGGTGGGCCTCTCCCGAAGGAAGGGCTGGTGCAGGGCGTCCCAGCTCAGGTTGGCCAGCACCTGGGACACATTCCACTCGAAGTAGGTGGGCACGATGACCACGAAGCTCATGTTGTTCTTAAAGGGGAAGTGAGCCACCTACAGACAAAGGAAGGAGACAGCGTGAGGACCAGAAAGCACCGGGGCGGAGGGGAGTCTGGGCCAGCGTGTGCTTCCGAGGCCGAGGGACCGGGGGTCCAGTCCATCCTGCTCAGGCCTGCGCTCCGCCTCCCCGAGCCTCCCATTCCTCCCCGAGCCTCCCATTCCTCCCCTGCGAAGAGTGGCAGATCCTCCCTTCCTCCAACCGATGGACGGAGAATGATGTAAACTCCACCTGCAGCCGGACATTCCTGAGCACCGAACCACCCATCAGCACCTGCCGAATACCCTAAGCCCCCGGTTCCTGAGTCCCCGGGTCCCTAATCATAGGCCTTACACGAAACCACCCATCAGCATGTGCCGAGTGCCCTAAGCCCCGTCCCCTCTCTCTCCTCCCCTTAAACGGTGCCTGGGTCCCAGCTTTTTCTCTTTTCCCGCTGGAAGCAGCCGGCAGCAGTACTCTTCTCTCCAATAAAGCCTGTGTCCTGGTCCCTGTCTCCGGCCTCTGCTTCATCTTTCAAAGAGGGATGACCCTACCGCCCCACATTGCAGGTCGGCGTGTGGCCCAAAGGGGTAACACTTGTTAACGGTGTCGGTCTAGCTCTTCACCCGCCACTGTCTGCCAGCCCTGCGACTCGGGGCGAAGCAGCCCTGTGTCCCCCTCTCCGTTTCCCCATGCAGACAGTGCGCTTGGGTTACTGGGTTTCAAACGGCCCCGGGGCCTGCAGGGCAGCTGCTGCAAAGGGTGGCCCTCGCTCCACCTCTCTCATTTCCACGGGAGCTGTGCCCAGCCCTGCCGCCCGGGGAAGGATTCCACGCGAACGGGTTTCTGTAGCTAACGGAGGACGGAAACCCCGGTCTCGGGGGTCTCCTGCAGCTTGGACTCCGAGGCTCTCAGCAGGCCCGGAGGGTGCTAAGGCCCCAGCATCTGGCTGCCTGGCCTGCCTGCCGAGGGCCTGCGACCAGCAAGGTCAGGGAGCGGGAGGAATGGAGACCACGCGGGAAGGAGCGGCAGGAAGGAAGCTGGTGGGGTGATGCACCAGACCATCCTCCTTTCGGGGTGAACTGGAGAGAAGCCGGGATGCTGCTCCCAGGGCCGGCCCGTCCACAGCCCCCGCACCCGGAGGGCTGCTGAAGCGGATGTGGTCTGTGTCCTGCTGGCCTTGTGATACTACCCAACGCTGCCCTCTCCGCCACGGGCCCCGGGGCTCAGTGCCTACGCCAAGGGGACCCCGTGTAGACTGGAAGCAAGGGCGCCCTCCCCTGAGAGAGCCTGGCATCCACTCCATCCAGTCAGAATGTCCCGTCAGGATGCTGGCACATGCATCCCAATCGGATCCTCCCTTCTGAGAAACACTCCATGAGAGCGCAGGTCACATCTCCCAGGCCGGAGGTGCTAAGGCCCCAGGTGGCTCCATGGCTGCTGGGGTGCCCCACACCCCATGGGTCCTTGTTCGAAAGCCCTGGGAACTAGAGATCACCTGGGTCTCCACTCAGTGCCCTCTCCTCAAAAATGCTCCCTGGCCACTCTATCTAACACAGCGCCCCTAAATCCCCTTTTAAAGGTGTTTTCCTGCCGAAACTGGTTTGACTCAGTGGATAGAGCATCGGCCTGCGGACTGAAAGGTCCCAGGTTCAGTTCCAGTCAAGGGCATGTATCTTGGTTGCGGGCACATTCCCAGGAGGGGTTGTGCAAGGGGCAGCTGATCGATGACTCTCTCATCGATGTTTCTAACTCTGTCACTCTGTCTTCCTCTCTGTAAAAAATCAATAAAATATATTTTTAAAATAATTTAAAAAATAAAAATAAAGGTGTTTTCCCTCATAGCACTTATCACGCCCTGAAGCCATCCTGCTGGTGTTTGTGAACTTGCATACTTGGTGTCTTCCCACCTGAGAACAGGGATCTGGGCTCCCCTGTGTTCCACTAACAGCCCAAGGCCTAGCACAGTGTCTGCACAGAGCAAACGCCCAGTATGGTTTTGTTGAATGAATGAATGAATGAACCTCAGAGAACCTGGAGCCTCCATCCCCCTCAGTGGGGGCACAGTGAGACCTCTCATAGCCACGCCCCCAGGGACATAGCTACCAGGAAGGTGAGGGCACCCCTCCCCACCCCCGTGCCTGCCCCACCGCCTGCTGCTCCCTCCTCCCCGCCCAGCACGCAGGCCCGGCCTGGCCGGTCCGGGGCGACCTGTACGGAGGGCTGCTCCAGCAGCGTCCAGCGCAGCGGGTACATGCGGGCCTGCATCATGTCCACTGGCACCGTGAACTGCCCGTCCAGGTGGAACGTCCCTCTCTGCGTGAGGCTCGGGTCGAACTTGCTCTTCCAGAAACCTGCACCGGCAGAGGGCAGGGCCGGATAGACTGGACCAGGGTGGGTTCTCTTCCCCATCCCACCCAGAATCCGTTCCAGGGACAGAAGGTGAGGGCCACGACCCCGTCGGCCTGCGGACTGAAGGGTCCCGGGTTCGATTCTGGTCAAGGGCATGTGCATTGGTTGTGGGTACATCCCTGGTGGGGAGTGTGCAGGAGGCAACTGGTCGATGATTCTCTCTCATCAATGTTTCTAGCTCTCTATCCTTCTCCCTTCCTCTCGGGGAAGAATCAATAAAATATATTTTTTTAAAAATCCGGATGTGCATTCCCCACCGTACCCTGCCGTGCTCCTGGGAGCCTCCCCTGGGTCTTTTCACCCCGGGTTTCCTTCTAGGGTGCCCTCTCCACAACAGCCCATCCGGTTCCCGGGCCCCCTCCCTGCCACTACCTGCCTCCAAACCTCTCCCAAGCCACGACCCAGAGGCTCCGCCCTGAGGCGGAAGCTGAGGGCCGCCCAGCCTGCTCAGCCTTCGGGGCGGGGGAGGAGCTGCGGGCGGGAGACGGGGAAGAGGAGCCGCGCACCCTGGAAGTGGATGACGTTGAGGAGCAGCAGCACGGTGTCATCCGCCATCTCCGAGAGGAAGTCCTCGATCTTCCCCTCCGTGGTCTCCTTCACCCATTTGTTGATGTTTGCCAAGTCCTCCCCCTTCTTCCCAATCAGGTTGATGGGCTTCGCGCCAAAGAGGAGTTCGGACTGTGTCAGGAAGTCCTCTTTGATGGGAAATCCTATGCAGGAGGGACCGCGGGTTGTCCCTGGAGCTCAGGCTCCACAGACAACGATCCAACAGGCTGGCTGACGCCCAGCTCACCTCCCTCGCCCTGTCCGCCCCACAGCACCAGCGAGGGGGCTCCCTGCCACCCGCACCCACCTTTCTGCAGGTACATCCGAGCGGCCATTCGGAACGCGCCGGGGCCCAGGTCCTGGCAGAGGCGGCTCAGCAGGTGGGGGAGGCAGGGCCCTGTGTCCGCGTGCAGCACCTGCTGCAGCCTCTGCAGCGTCTGGTTCTGGGCACCTGGAGGGGACCGATCGCTGTGGCCAGGCTGGGGCTCGGTCCCACCACCCCTGCAACCCACCCCCAGTCCCTCTTAAGCTAAGGTGACCAGACGTCCCGCTTTTGGCGAACTATTTGTCCCGCGTCCCATGGCATTTTAAAAAATCGGGACTTTTTTAAAACGCTGGACAAGCCGGCACCGGTTTGGCTCAGTGGTAGAGCGTCGGTCTGCGGACTGAAAGGTCCCGGGTTCGATTCCGGTCAAGGGCATGTACCTTGGTTGCGGGCACATCCCCAGTAGGGGGTGTGCAAGAGGCAGCTGGTCGATGATTCTCTCTCATCGACGTTTCTAGCTCTCTATCCCTCTCTCTTCCTCTCTGTGAAAAATCAATAAAAAAATATATTTAAAAAATAAAAAATAAATAAATAAAAATAAAACGCTGGACAAATTGTTAAAAATTGGGATTGTCCCGCCAAACGCAGGACATCTGGTCACCTTAGCTTAAGCACCCACGGTGAGCACGCCCCTGGGACCACACACTCTCCTCGCGTCCACTGAACCGGTCTGAGTGACAGGACCCCCACGTTCAACTTTCACGTCTGCCTCTGCTAGTCTGCGTGACCACGCCTCATGAAAACTGTCACTCCTCTCTGAGCCTCAGTTTCCCACGAGACTCTCCAGTCCAATGGGCGCATTGTAGCTACCAAACTCTTGCCTACAAGTCCCCAGAAGCAGATCCTTGGGCCTAGTTCCTGGGCACCTGATTCCCAGAGACCTGAGGTGGGCCCAGGGGTCTGCATTTTTACCACATGTGACCCCGACAGAGGAGTCACTCTGAAGCAGTGAGCTCCCACCGTCCTCCCGGCTCTGCGGGTCTGGACAGGCGCTGCCGCCGTACCTAGTGCCAGGTGAGACAGCGCCAGGGCCACACTCAGAGGCGACAGGATGAGGTTGGGGTGGGCGGAGCTCTGGGCCACCTGGGAGAACAGGTCTGTGGTGAAGGCCATCATGGCCTTGGCCAGCCTGCGGGTCTGCTCCGGGCTGGGGGCCTCACTGCAGTCTCCTGAGGCCTTCTTCGGCTCCGTCTGGCCCTCGGGCTCCTGCAGGGATGTGTCGGGGGTCAGTGGAGGCCACGGGTCCCTCGGTTCTGTGTGGAAGACCGGCTTCACAGCCCCTGGGCCTTGTCCCAGGGCTGCCTGACGGATACATTCTGGGGCCTGGAGGCCTTCCTCTGTCCCTCACCCTCCCGCTTCAGCCCTCCGCCTCAAGGCCATGCCCCCAGCCCCCTCCCCCCTCCCTCGGGCCCGCCCACTTTTTCCCAGCCCCACCTGGTTGTACCTGGTTGACCAACTTGAGGAGGCTGAGCTGGGACAGCTTCTCCTGGCTCGGCCCGGTCACTATCTGAAGAAAGGAGGAAGAAAATGGAGCGGGATCCTCTCCGCAGGCCCCCCCACCCTGCATGAGCCACAGGTGCGGCCCCTCAGCCCCTCTTCCCGGTACCTGCTGGCTCATGGGATCCATGGTGCTCGCCGGAGAGAACTGTTGGAAAAGGGGTGAGGAGAGGAGGGGGAACCCCCTCAGAGCCAAACCCTCCTGCCCTTCTCTGCCCCCTCAGACCTATGGCCTCCATACCCATCGGTCTGGGGCAGGGGCGGGGGTGGTGGGAACGAGCCCCAGCCTGGCCACAGCGATTGGTCCCCTCCAGGTGCCCAGAACCAGACGCTGCAGAGGCTGCAGCAGATGCTGCACGCAGACACAAGGCCCTGCCTCCCCCACCTGCTGAGCCGCCTCTGCCAGGACCTGGGCCCCGGCGCGTTCCGAATGGCCGCTCGGATGTACCTGCAGAAAGGTGGGTGCGGGTGGCAGGGAGCCCCCTAGCTAGTGCTGTGGGTGGACAAGGTGAGGGAGGTGAACTTGGCCTCCCCTCCCTACCCAGACCCAGCCTCCTGCCCAGACTCACCACTGAGCAGGGCCCTTGCAGGCAGGACAAGCTGAGCACCAGGAGGCCCCGGAGCAGTGCCATGTTCCTGTGAGGGGCAGGAAGCATGGTTGCCAATTGCCACCCCCCCACACACACCCTGTCACCCCCAATGATCTCACTGGCCACTGGAGCCAAGCCCCTACACTAAGGTGACCAGATGTCCCTCCAAAAGCAGGACAGTCCTGATTTTTAACAATTTATCCCACATCCCGCAGCGTTTAAAAAAGTCCCGACTTTTGCCAGGACCGGTTTGGCTCAGTGGATAGAGCGTTGGCTTGGGGACTGAAGGGTCCCGGGTTCGATTCCGGTCAAGGGTATGTGCCTTGGTTGCGGGCATATCCCCAGTAGGGGGTGTACAAGAGGCAGCTGATCGATGACTCTCTCTCATCGATGTTTCTAGCTCTCTATCTCTCTTCCTCTCTGTACAAAATCAATAAAATATATATTTTTTAAAATGAATAAATAAATAAAATAAAAATAAATTAAAAAGTCCTGACTTTTGCCAAAGCCTGCTTGGCTCAGTGGGCCGCGGGACAAATGGTTAAGAATCGGGACTGTCCCGCCAAAAGCGGGATGATCTGGTCACCTTACCCTACACCCACCGTGGAATCCCACCCACGTGATCCCTGGCCGGCACAGTCCCTAGCCATCATCGCTGAGGGCAACGCCAGCTGCAGCACACAATCCCCAAAATACACCGGCCGCGGCCCTCAGCTCCCGGGGGGTTTCGGTTCATGGGATGGAAACCATATCAAAGCGGAGAAAGCCCTCCTCCTCCAAGGCCTGGCGTTGTCAGACCTGGGTGTGCATCCAGGCGGACTCTTGCCAGAGGACCCGGGACATTTCCCATAGCCCTCCAGGCCTCTCATCTTATAAAACGGGGGCACAGGTCCCCTCCTCCTCCCCCGGGTATGGGGAGGACCAAATAAGACGCGTTTGTGAGCCCGGAGTGCGAGGCCTGGCCCCCGGTCATGGCTGCTGCCCCTCTTCTGAGGCTCGCCTTGTCCCGGGGCTCCCTCCCCGCAGTTCCTGTGCAGCCGGCCACCGCTGCTGGCTGGTCTGGGTTGGCCTTGCCCACAGGGTGGCAGGCCCCGGAGGCCCTGAGGTGTCAGCAGGGGTGCCAGGGCGGGGGGGGGGGGGGGGGGGGGAGGGAGCAGCCTTGTTGACCCGGCGGCAGGCAGAACCCAATGAATGACTCCGGCCAGAGCCACCTTTGGACTTTTGGGAAACGCTGCCCCAGGCTGCCTCCCTCCGGGAAGTCTGGCTCTGGCCTCAGAGCGGGTCTCACACACCCCACCCCCACCTCAGGGCACGTCCTTCTGGAGGATCCTTCTACCACCCCGGGCTCCTCCCCATCACACCCGGGGCCCTCGGCCGAGGTTCTGATCCCCAACCTGGACCTTTGCATCTTTCTGGTAAGAAATGACCTTCAGTTTTTCAAGTCCCAGAGAGCCTTCCCCTGAACCACCACTACCACCTTTCATCACCCCAGGAGCCTGGGAGACAACAGGCTTCTGAATAAATTCAGCTGCAAGCGGGCAGCTCCCACCTCCTCTCCCGCCCGGAGCGGGCCATTAGCTCTCCCCTCCTACCTCTAGGCTCCTCTCTCCGCACCCGATGTCCCTCCGGGATCCTTGGGTGCTGCCCACGCTCTGCCCGGCTCCAGCCAGCCCCGCCGCCGCCGAGCCCTCCCCTCCCACCAGGACCTTTGCTCTCAGCCAACCCCTGTGCAGCTTGCTTTCTCCTCTGGTAAATATTGACCCGCACATCCGATTAAACATTGATATTGGGGCCGGAAGCCCTTTCCCACCAGGGCGTCTCGCCCTGAGACAGCCACCGGGAACCACACGGGTTTGGGTCCCACCTCAGCCTGGAGGACGGAGGTTCAGGAGACAGTGGAGGAGGCTCTCCTCGTCCGGAGAGCAGATCCCGGAAGGACAGGAGCCTTCCGGAGACCCCATTGGGGGGAGGATCACCCCTGCTCCCGTCAGGCTCTGGGAGGCTCTGTAACCTGCTCGAGGACACAGAGCTGGGCTGTTCCATCCAGGCCCCCACTTCCTCTCCCCAAAGCTGCCTCCCATCCCAAGGGGAGGGAAGGGGAAGCTGCAGGAGCATATGGAGGGAACCCAGGATAGGATATCCCATTCCCACTCTTTTTTTTTTTTTTTTTTTTTTTTTTTTAAATATATTTTATTGATTTTTTTACAGAGAGGTAGGGAGAGGGATAGTTAGAAACATCGATGAGAGAGAATCATCAATCAGCTGCCTCCTGCACGCCCCCCACCGGGGATGAGCCCGCAATCAAGGTACATGCCCTTGACCGGAATCGAACCTGGGACCCTTCAGTCTGCAGGCCGACACTCCTATCCACTGAGCCACACCGGTTTCGGCCCATTCCCACTCTTACATGCCCAGGATCCTGATTTGGCTGCCTTCGGCCTGGGTCAGAAGGCAGGGGATGGAACAAGATGCTGAGGGATGCAGCCTCTCTCAGCACCCTACCTCAGTGGGAGCAATGCCTGCTTCCCTGCCCAGGGGGAGGGCTCTGGGGCTGGCGTGGGGCTGCGGAAAGCAGGAGCCCTATTCGCTGTGCCATCTGGAGAATAATGGCCTGCCTGCCTCCCCCCCTCTGCCCCACTCCTCACCCTCTCCTCACCGACCTGCCAGCGGTGGGATCTCAGTGTCTCCCCACCTGACACGGCCGACAAGAAAAGCCTCACTCGGTTGCAAGGTGCTTCCAAAGGGTTTATTGGTCGTATTTACATCTATTGCGAACAGTAAGGAGGCAGCAGGGGCCCAGGCCCAGACCCCATCTCTGCTCCACATGGCGGGACCCGGGGACCCCGGGATCGTCTTGTTCCCCGGGGAGACCTGAGATGCACAGATGAAATTCTTCTTGGCTCGCCGAAACCAGTGTGGCACAGTGGATAGAGCGTCGGCCTGCGGACTGAAAGGTCCCAGGTTCGACTCCAGTCAAGGGCATGTACCTTGGTTGCGGGCACATCCCCAGTGGGGGGTGTGCAGGAGGCAGCTGGTCGGTGATTCTCTCTCATTGATGTTTCTAACTCTCTATCCCTCTCTCTTCCTCTCTGTAAAAAATCAATATATTTTTTTAAAAAAATTCTTCTTGGCCCTTATTTCAGGGTCTTGGGCCCCCAATCTCACCCTCTGGGCTCAGAGGCTGCCTCCTCAGTTCAAGGCACCGTCTGTAGTTAGGGGTAAGCAGGCGAGGCTTGTGGCCACTCCTGGCAGGCACCAGCCGGCCCTGTCCATCTTCTCTGCCCTGGTCCTGACCTCCATCTTGTCCTACGGGTCCCAGGCTAAGCAGGGCCTGGCTGCGCAAACACTCAAACCCCAGCCCAAGGCCCTTCATTCCTGGACCGGAGAGGCTGGAGCCCAAGCACCATGGGGTGCTGGGGGGCCAGGGCCAGAGAGCCCAGCAGGAAGTGGGGGGCCTTGGCTGGAAAGATGGTGGCCAGCGCCGGTCTCGCTTCCTCTTCCTGAGCACCCCTGTCCCCATGTGGACGCAGAGGGCAGAGCTGGGTGAAGAGGGGCAGCGATGCTTCCCCAGCTCCTTCTCTTGCTTCCTGCTGGCCAGGGGGAGTCTCCCCAAGTCATGACTGAGACCCCTGACAACCCTGGTAGCTCTGGAGCCTGGACTCCCACTCTGTCCTAGCTGGCAGGCCACAGGGCTGCACTGGGCATGGGGCAGAGGCTCGCATGGAGGGGACAGAAGGGTGAGGGGGTGGGCTCCCGGTGGATGTCTGCCAGCCCAGGCCTGGCCAGCTCCCACATCAGCCTACGCCAGGAGGCGGATGACCCCATTGTCCGAGCCCAGCAGGAGGTGGCGCTTGGTGGGCAGCAAGGCCAGGCTGGTGAGGGTGCCACGGAAGTTCTCGGAGCTGAGCTTGGTGGTGGCCTGGGAGGGCGGCTCGAGCAGGGAGCAGACGCCGATCTTGTTGGCCACGGTGCCGGTGATGACTTCGCTGCCGTACAGGTCGAAGGTGTGGATGGGGTCGGACGCCGACTTGTAGTGGTGGGTGGGCTTCTGCTCCAGCTCCTTCCAGACGGTCAGGGAGTGGTCGGAGGAGGAGCTGACCAGGACGCTGCCCTCCGCAGCCTGCTCGGGGAAAGGAGCGCCTCAGCAGGGCCCGGGGCCCCCGTGGGCCCACCCACGTCCTCCCGCCTCCTCTCCCAGGAAGACAGGACGTTCTGAGCGGCTGACAGGCTGCCGTCCTCCCACGTTCTGCGCATGTTAATTAACAGGAATACGTGACCGCTTCATTAACCCAGTCACCAGCACAGTCTGAGCACGTACTCTGCTCAGGTGTTGTGCGAGGCATGCCGCATCACCACACAGCACCTTTGTAACCGCTCTCTGTGGCAAATGCCGCCATCGCTCCCATTTTACAGGGGAAAATGGAGGCTTGGGAAAGTTAACTCATCACACCAAGGATCAGTCACACCAGGCTGGCCCCGGAGCCCTCCCGGAAAGTCAGAATTTAGAGGCATCTGCAGCCCAGGGTCCCCTGGGGTGGGGGCGGGGGGTCTGAAGGAAACTCCGGGCTGCCTGTCCCCAGCAGCGTCAGTGCATGTGCCCTGGCCCGGCCTCCACTTAGGATGGGGAGGGAATCCCAGCTGCCAGGAAAAATCCTCCCACAAGTAGCCCTGTGCCTCCCACACACAATGCAACGTGCCTCCCTGAGGTTCGTGATTGAGAATGGGTGGGGGCAGGATCCCCATGCCCGGGCTGCCCCTGCCCCCATCGGAGCAGCCCAGCAAGGGGCATGGACTCTGCTCAGTGGTCTGGGGGCAGTAAACAGCCTCGCAGCTGAGCTTTATTTAACCTGAATTGGGTCACGGACGGGACCCGACCCCTGATCCTCCAAGCAAGACAAATATGGACAAGGGTTACTCATTAGAACATCTCCAGGGAGCGGCAGGGTCAGCTCGCCCGCAGCGCCCGCCCCCGGGGGCCTGCCTCCTGCCAAGGCCCCGCAGGGAAGCTGGCTCCGGGTGCTCCCTCACACCTGTCCTTGGGCAGGCACCGGGGAGATCAGCTTGAGCCTGTCCTGGGTGGGGACCCGGAGTAGTGAGGTGGGGGGAGGGGCCCTGGTCTGTCACCTTGATCTGCAGGATGTCCCCTTCGTGGGCAGGCCAGCCCCGCAGAACCAGGCCCGTGCGGGTGTCCAGCAGCACCATGAAGCCCGAGGAGAAGCCGGCCACGACGCTGCGGCCGCTGGGACTCACGGCCAGGGAGCGGACCAGCCCCGGGTTCAGCCCGCCGCCCAGGCGGAACTCGTGCTGCGGGCGGAGGGAGACAGGCTGAGGTGCCCCTGCCGGCTCTGCCTGCTCCAAGCCACGCTCCCTGCGGCCCTGCTCGGCCCCTCGCCCACACAACTGGGAAGCCGGAGCCTCTGTCCCCCCCAACCCAGGGGAGAGCTCCCCCTTCAGAGTCCCACCCCCAGGGTTTGCTTCTGTAGGGTGATCTGTCTCCAAAGAGAAACCACGCCCTGGCCTTCCCTCTCGGGGATCTCTCCCTGCCGCCAGAAGGCACCCAGGCCCAGGCTCAGGCCCCGGGACGTCCCTGACCTGCAGGCCAGGCTTCCTGCAGTCCACAAAGCGCAGGGTCGCGTCGGAGCTGGCCATGGTGACGCTGCTGTGGGGGGCGGGCATGACAGCCACGGCGGTCAGCGGGACCCGGCTGTCCGACGGCTCCACCACGCGAAGGGTCTTCCCTGGAAAGGAAGCGTGCGGTGGACCTGGGTTCCAGCAGCTCAGGGAGGCGCCTCTCTTCCCGCCCAGCCCCACGCCTGCCTCCCACACCCTGAGGGACCCCAGGAAATACTAGATGCTTCTTGACCCTCCTGTCTTCCTGCTTTCATGGCCAGCCCAGACTCCCATCCCCGCCTCCCCACCCCAAGGCAATGACTGAATGCTGTCTCCCTCTGTCCACCTCAATGCTACTCCAACCCCCTTTTAGCTTTATTTCTCGCCCCACTGAGGCCAAAAAATAATCGAGCCACTATTTATCCAACATGCACTAATGCTCCATGTTAAGCCAAACCCCTTTGTTAAGCTAAACCAGTGGTCGGCAAACTCATTTGTCAACAGAGCCAACCATCAGCAGTACAATGATTGGAATTTCTTTGGAGAGCCGAAAACCGACTTCTGCGCAAGGGCCATGAAGTTTCAATCGCACTGTACGTGCGTGCCCGCACGAGGTATTTATTTTTAATATATTTTATAGTGTTTTTTTTTACAGAGAGGAAGGGAGAGGGATAGAGAGTTAGAAACGTCGATGAGAGAGAAACATCGATCAGCTGCTTCCTGCACACCCCGCAACTGGGGATGCGCCCACAACCAAGGTACATGCCCTTGCCCGGAATCGAACCCGGGACCTTCCAGTCCGCAGGCCGACGCTCTGTCCACTGAGCCAAACCAGTTAGGGACGCACGTGGTATTTTGTGGAAGAGCCACACTCCAGGGGCCAAAGAGCCCCAGGCGGCTCGCGAGCCACAGTTTGCCGACCGCCGAGCTAAACCATTTGTTCTGATTCCCATTTTACAGGCAGGAACACGGAGGCTCCCAGCAGCAGGGAAGTGGTCAGGGCCGATTCAAACCGCGACCTAACGGACTCTACGTCCTCTCTGCTCCTCTGGGTGGCTTCCCTGGGCCACCCACAGCACACACCACCACGCTCCAACCACTCCCCGCGCGGGCCCCTGCCAGGGGCCTCCGGAGGACAGAGGGACAGCACGGGCAGCACGGACCTCGCGGCCCGCTCACCTGTGAAGGGGTCGAAGACGTGCACGGCCCCGTCGCAGCTCACCACACACTGCGGCGCCTCCAGCTGGCCCACGAAGAAGACCCCCTTGCGGTGCTGGGCATAGACCAGGCGCGGGGCCGTCTCACTGGTGCCGTCCCCGGCGTTGTAGAGCGGCCAGAGGCGCACGGTGCGGTCCTTGCTGCCGCTCAGGAAGAAGTCCTCGCTGCTCAGGGGCGCCACGCACTTGACGGCCCCCGAGTGGCCCGGGAAGCTCTGCAGGCGGATCTGGTGGAAGTGGAAGTGGGCGTCCTGCTGGCTCACGCCGATCTCGTACTGCCAGTACGCCAGCCAGTTCCCGCTCAGCCCGTGGGCGCTCCGCGGCAGCTCCCGCTTCAGCGCGCGGTCCTCGCCTTCGTCGCCGCCGAGGCCCCCGCCACCACCGCCAACGCCGCCGCCCGCCCCGGAGACGAAGCCCAGGGCGCCCGCGCTCTCCGGCGGCGCGTCCTCGGGGATCTGGATGCGGTTCCCGACGAGGACGCTCCCGAAGGTCCCCGAGTGGCCGTCGTCCTGGGCGCAGCCCCCGCCCTGGGGGTCGGACTCGAGGCCGGCGTGGGGCACGGCGGGCTCCACGCTGGCGGGGCCGCGGCTGCTCGGGCTGATGCTCTCCAGGTACAGCCCCGCCAGCTCCCCCACCAGCTCGTGGTTGGGGATGATCTTCTGGATGATGTCACCTGGGTGGAGGGGGAAGTGGTCCTAAGATGAGAGAACGGGTAGCTGCCTCCACCCAGCCGAGGGCTTGGGAACCAGAGAGGACAGGGCAGGCACTGGCTGAGCAACTCTGAGCGAGTGACTCTTCATTTCTGAGCCTCAATCTGCTCCCCGGGAAAATGTGGACGCATTCGTGCATCACGTACACGCGAGCATCTTCTCTCTGTGCTGGGCACAGAGGAGAGCAAACAACAAGGGTCACGCTGTCCCTCCCAGAGCTTAGGTTTTAGCGGAGGGATGGCAGCGTATCTGTTCATCCTACTCAGGGAGATGGCGCCCGTTGGCCCTCAGCAGTGCCCAGCCTGCACCGTGCAGGAACCTAAGGGAACGGTGGGCTGCTCATTCCTCTCAGGCAGCTCCCAGACATCAGCCTGACCCCCCCCCCCCCCCGCCTTCCCCGGGGAGGCGCTAGGCCTCTCCTGTGCCTCCTTGCTGGCACACGCTCGGTCCCTGTGATTATGTCACCTTGAGACGTGAAGTCCGAGGCCAAATTCCTTTGCTCTGGCCCAGAAAACAGTGCTAATACCCACTACTGACTCTGAGGGCAGAGTATAAGGCCCTCCCAGGGAGAGAGACAGCCTCAGGGGCTGTGCACGGAAAGGGGAGGGCCAGTACCCAGCAGGCAGGAAAAAGGCACGTAGATGGTGTACGCCATCTCCAAGGTGAACACCTTCTGCAGCTCGTCCAGCAGGGCGGGGTCCACCGGCCGCAGCTGCCCGTCCGAGAAGGCCACCTCGGGCAGCTGGCCCTCGCCGTGGCCCGCGGGGTCCAGATCCTGGGGAAGGAAGCCCGGGCGTCAGCCGCGGCCACGGCCCCCTGTCCAGCCCACCCCCGCCAGGCAGGTGTGCCCACCTGGTGCCGCAGCTCGTGCAGCTGAGAGAAGACCTGGAAGAAGGTGGCCACGGGCTCGCTCAGGTGCTGCTGGACCATCTCCTGTCCGATGCGGAGGCAGATGAGGGCGATGAGGCTGATGGTTTTCAGACACAGGACGGTCCGGGCCTGGGCTCCGCTGGGGAACCTGGAAAGAGCTTACTGAGCTCCGGCCCCCCACACGGTGGGACTCGCCCAGAATCTGTCAAAAGCTAGAAGCAAGCCGGGACTGGTTTGGCTCAATGGATAGAGCGTCGGCTTGGGGACTGAAGGGTCCCGGGTTCGATTCCGGTCAAGGGCATGTACCTTGGTTGCGGGCATATCCCCAGTGGGGGTTGTGCAGGAGGCAGCTGATCGATGACTCTCTCTCATCGATGTTTCTAACTCTCTATCTCTCTCCCTTCCTCTCTGTATAAAATCAATAAAATATATTAAAAAAAAAAAAAAGCTGGAAGCGAAAGGTGCTACAAGCTGAAACCAGTTTGGCTCAGTGGACAGAGCGTCCGCCTGCAGACTGAAGGGTCCCAGGCTCGATTCCGGTCAAGGGCATGTACCTTGGTTGCGGGCACATCCCCAGTAGGGGGTGTGCAGGAGGCAGCTGATCGATGTTTCTCTCTCATCAATGTTCCTAGCTCTCTATCCCTCTTCCTTCCTCTCTGTAAAAAATCAACAAAATATCTTTAATAAAAAAAGAAAGGTGCTCCAAGGCCAACTGGCCCAAGCCAGAAGCGGAAACTGAGGCACAAGAAGGTGTGGCTTGCTCAGGGTCACACAGGATCAGAACCAGGACCCCAGCCCAATGTCAGTGGACTCTCCCCCAAGCTTCCCGGTCCCCACACCCCCCTGGGCCCCTCAGCTGGGCTGCTCCTCCCGCAGGATGGGGCCGGGGCCTACCCTGTGACGAGGGAAGTAAGGAAGCTGAGCACGGGCAGCAAGACCTCGTGGCTGATACGGGGCAGGATGTCCATGAGGGTGGTGTCCGAGAGGTACACAATGATCTTCTGGGTCAGAGTCACCGCGGCCAGCAGCCCCGCCTCCTTACGGCTGTTCAGGCGACTGGGGCTTGAGGCGCTCCCTGGGGCCACCTGGGGACACAGCGCCGATGAGGGCCAGGCTGCCCCACGGATCCCCGGAGGCCCCCCCAGACCCCAGGTCAGCCCCTCCGCCCAGCCTGCCAGACCGGACACCGACCAGGTAGCTGATGTAGGGCAGGTACTGGTAGGTGAGGACAGGCTCCCCGTACAGGTGGGCGATGTGGAGGAGGCAGCTGAGCACAGGCCTCGACACCACATCGCCCAAGACCGGTCTCTTCTGGTAGATGTTGCCGGCACCCAGCGGGGGGCTCTCGCCGCTGCTCACCGCAAACTGCTGCCGAGTGGGCCCTGCCGAGGGAAGGCCGGAGGCTGAGTGCCGGCAGAGGGCAGGGGGGGGCCGTCAGCCTTTCAGGGTCTGTGGCAGCCGCTCCCCCTCACTCTAGCCTGGGGTCTGCCCCATGCCTGAAGGCAGAGAGAAGCTTACAGAATGGGGCCCGAGACCCAGGACGTGGTCTGCAGCGGGGGTGGGGAGGATGGCCTAGAGGGGGCTGGAGATGGGCAGAGGGCCTGGGGGAAGTCTCAGCTCTGACCACGGGTCTTACCAACGTAACACGACGTCAGCAGGCGGAGCAGGTTGCGGGCCACGTGGCGGGAGGCCACCGTTGGGCCGAGCTTGGCGGACAGCCAGCGGACCATCTTGCAGGCGGTGTCTGCAGGGAGGAGCAGCCCCTGAGCTCGCCAGATAACGGCGGCTCGCCACCCCACCCCGCCCCCCGGCACCCACCTAGCACACTCTGGCTACAAATCTGCCAGAAGCCTGGCCCGAGCCTGGCCGCCCCCCACGGCCCCTCCCCCCACACACACACACACACCACTGCTGCAGTGCCGAGGGGGCCGACGGGTCTTGGGCCTGAGGGCTGCTCCAGGTTATCCTTTCGGTGACTCTTCTCCAGTTCATCAGGGACACCCTGGCTACCTCCCCGTCTGATCTCTGCGCCCTCCTCTGCCCTCCACTCCCCCAGCTGAAACACGCTGGCCTTTCACGGGTTTTCAATAGAACCGTGACAGCCTCCGAGCTCTGTACGTGCTATTCCCGCTGCAGGGAATGCTCTTCCCTCGGCAGGCCCTGATACTTTCCACCGCAGCTGGCCCTACTTTCAAACAGTCTTCCCTGGGCCGAAACCGGTTTGGCTCAGTGGATGGAGCGTCGGCCTGCGGACTGAAAGGTCCCAGGTTCGATTCCGGTCAAGGGCATGTACCTTGTTTGCGGGCAGCAGGGGGTGTGCAAGAGGCAGCTGATCGATGAATCTCTTATTATGTTTCTAACTCTCGATCCCTCTCTCTTCCTCTCTGTAAAAATTCGATAAAATATATATATTTTTTTAAAAAAAGAAGTCTTCTCTGACCCTGAAAACTAGATCTAAGCCCCATTTTATATTCCCTCATAGCACCCCGCTGTGTTTTTTATAGCGCTACCCTAAGGTGGGCTTACGCTTACATAAAACTGTCTTTAGCCGGGACCGGTTTGGCTCAATGGATAGAGCGTCAGCTTTGGGACTGAAGGGTCCCGGGTTCAATTCCGGTCAAGGGCATGTACCTTGGTTGCGGGCACATCTCCAGTAGGGGGTGTGCAGGAGGCAGCTGATCGATGACTCTCTCTCATCAATGTTTCTAACTCTCTCTCTCCCTTCCTGTCTGTACAAAATCAATAAAATATATTTTTTTTAAAAACTGTCTTTAACGCGGCATCTCCTCTGCTGGGTGTGGGCTCCAGGAGGACGGGCCCACATCTCTGCTGCGTGTGGACCTGCTCGATCCACTGCTTGGCACAGAACTCACGCTCTGCAGACGCTGAGTGCAAACCGGAGGACTGACCGACGCACTTGGGCTCCGGCACTCACCAAGAAGGATCTTCTGTTCTTGGCCCTCCGACCGCTCAGTCAGCGGCTCCTCCTCTTCCTCCCCGTCTGCCCTGCCGCCAGCGGCCACATCCGTATCCATGGACAGCAGGGTGCTGGAGAGAGTGAGCTCAGGTGCCCCCGGGACTTCATCTGGCTTCTCCTCTTCCTCCCCCTCCTCCAACACCACGCAGCCTTCCTCCTCCTCCTCCTCCTCCTCCTCCTCCTCCTCCTCCTCCTCGGAGCCTTCGCTCTGCTTTAAGTCCTGGCTGCTGTCACCTGACCGGAGGCTGCTCTTGTCCACGGGGGCTCCCCCTTCCTCGGCAGCCGGCTCCTCGCCCAGGGAGGTCTCGCTGGTGCTGCTCTTGTCGCTCAGCTGGCCCAGGCTCACAGCCTCCGCCTCCTGGGACTGCGGGGACTCGGACACATACAGCCCCGCCTGGAAGTCCTCCGTCTCAGAGAGGTCCGCCTGGTCGTGGAAGCTGACGCCGGACGTGTAATCCGGGAGCCCCAGGCCTGACGAAGCGGCAGGCTCCCCGTCCATGGGGATGTCCTCCCCAAAGGCACAGGAGCTGGGCCTGGCCCCCGGGAGCCCGCTGTCCTCGTCCTCGGCAGCCCCCGCCAGGCCCTTGCTTTCCTCCTGGGAGGCCTCCGCACCAGCCAGCACCTGCAGGACGTGGGGCAGGAGGTGGACGAGGAAGGCCTGCAGGCCGAGCCGCACGATCAGCTGGGCCACGAAGCAGTCCGTATACAGGTAGAAGCGGCCGTGGAGCCGGCAGGGGCTCTCGTAGGCACCGATGAGAGGCTTCAGGAGGTACTTGTTAGCATTTTTGGGGCCCAGGGCCTTGGCGACGGGCTCAAACAGGTACCAGGCCGTGTGCACAGCCGTGTGCTCCTCGGACATGAGGGACAGCACGAAAGGCAGCAGGATCTCCAGGCCCTCGGGGGTGATGTCGCTCAGCACGGCGCCCAGCTGCTGCCACAGAGCAAAGACCAGCTCCCGCCCCTGAGCCTCGTCCTCCGCGCGCCTCTCCTGGTACAGGAGGATGAACTTGTGCAAGGCAGGGAAGTAGGGAGGGAAGGGGACCGCAGAGCTGAAGGGGCTGAGGAGCTGGGCCGGGGAGGGCGGGGGCAATCCCTGGGAGACGGGTCTGTAGGCAAACAGTGGGCCCAGCGTGCCATCCCCGGCGGCGGCCGGGCCTTCGGGTCCGCTCAGCTGCAGGAGCATGTCCAGCATGGGCTGCAGAGACACGGGGATCTCCTTGGGATGGCGCGTGCAGAGCCCCCGAGCGGCCTCAAAGCGCGCCCGCAAAGGCGCCTCGGGCTGCAGCGATCGGATCCTGGTGGCGAACACCATCTCGGCCAGCAGCACGCCCAGCGCCTGCATGTCCCGATGGAGGAGGTCCTGCATCTGCACAGGCGGCTGCACCTGGGGCTGCTCGGGCACCTCCAGCGGGCCCCCCAGACCTCTGGTCAGGAAGTTGCCCAGCTTCTCCAGCTCCTCCAGCGCCTGCACGGGATGGAAGCCCTCGGGAAGGAGGATCTTCCCTTCCTCGCCTTCCCCGGGGTCCGTCCCCACAGCTCTGTTCCTGCGGCCTGGCCGAGAGGTGGAGGCCACGGAGAAGGACAGGAGGCCTGCGGGAGCTTGGCCAGAGGAAGAAGAGGGAGCCGGCGGGTCGCCCGCTTTCCCCGCGAGGGAGATGGAATCGAGGGCTTCCGTGGCCTGCTCCAGGTCATCTTCCCCAGCCACGGGTCTGTCCCTGGCCCAGCCAGCCTCGCAGGGAGTGGCCTCCAACACCAGCCTGCCCACTCCGTTCGCAAGCTGCCCCGGGAAGTCCTCCCGGCCGGTGCTCTCCTGGATGGTCTGGAACAGCAGCCTGGGGATGAGTGGCGGCTCAGGGGCCAGGGCGGGAGCCCCCGCCAGGCGCTGGGGGTGCGGCTGGTCAAAGAGCTGCACCACCCCGTAGTTGGTCAGGTGCGTGTGGGCATCCACCAGGTGCAGACACACGTTCTTCTCCTTCACGGCGTCCTTGCCCTGGAGCTTGTAGCCGAAGGTGAGGTCGATCCAGTGGTGCAGGTCCCGGGACACCTCGCGGCTCTCCAGCAGCAGCCGGTGGGCGGCCACAAACTCCTGGCTGGAGCCGCACCAGGCGGGCACGTCCAGGTCAGGCATGTCGGGGTGGATGGAGCAGAAGATGGAGGGGTCGGTGTAAAACTCGGGGATACACTCGTCCGGGGTCCAGCTCTGCATCCGCTCCATGCTGGCGGGGTACTCGTTGGGCTCCCACTGAGCCCGTACGTGGCCACAGAGCACGGACCGGGGGGTGCGCCGGGCCTTGTACACGTAGTACGTGATGTCAGAGAGCACGTCTGAGATGTGATGGGGCACGTGGGGCGGCTCCCCGGCCCCCGCGCCGCCTGCCACAAACGCCTGCCTCGTCATCTCGTACGTGAAGTCCAGCTGCTTGTCCCCCTTGTTGAGGCGGAACTTGGACTTGCGCAGGTCCCGGAAGCGCCCGTGGGACGTGGTGAAGTCCACCACCCAGGGCAACACGGGGTGGTAGTTGGGGTCCCCCTGCCGCCGGCCCGCCAGTCGGTTCAGCTGCATGAGGTAGTGGAAGTTGCTGATGCGGCCATGGACCCAGTCTAGCACCAGGCACCTAAGTTCCTTCTGGCAGGTAGGACACGCAGGTCCCCCTCCTCGCTCCTCTCCACAGTCGGTGCCTGCCCTGTCCCTCGCTGCGGGGGTCTCCTCGCTCCCGTCCTCCTCCTCTGGTCTCTCGTAAGCACTCAGGTCCAGCCGGAGCTCGCTGCAGAGTTTCTCGTCCACAGCGATGTCGTGCAGAGACAGGGCCCCGCAGGCCAGTCCCTGGCGGTGGCAGGCGTCCATGGCCCTCAGCACACGGAAGAGGAGGAAGAGCACCTTGGCTTGGCTGTTGGTCAGCTTGGCGGGGCTGAAGGTGACCACATCGTGCAGGGTGAACTGCACATAGGGGTGCACCACGTACAGCATCGCCGGCGACTCCAGCAGGGCCTCAGCTCTCAAAAGGCTGGGGCAGGCCGGGCTGCCCCGAGGGGGGCAGGGGCCATCCCTGGCATACGCCGGGCACTGGGTAGTTTCACCCACGGGCAGGAAGGGGCAACCATAGACCCTCTGCAGCGCTTGTCGTACTGAGTCCAAGGCAGGGACAGTTGAGGGGGCAGGGCTATGACTATAGGGCTGCCCATAGGTATGATACGCGTGACGCCATAGGTTGCGATAGTTCTGGGCAGCCACATCCTGCATGAAGCGATTGAGGGTCTCGGGGCTGCAGGAACCCTCCTCAAAGGACAGGCCCCCACCCAGCGGATAGGACAGCCTCCGCTTCCGCAGCCCGTGCACCTCTATTCGCGTCCAGCCTGGGGGCAGCCTCTGCACTGATCTCTGCAGGAGAGTCCTGACTTCCGCTTCGCTCAGGCTGTCTGCCCGGGGGCAGGGCCCCGGGGGCACACGGCGCTGCTCGCGGAGGCTGGCGAGCCAGCGCGCGGGCACCAGGGCCACCACGTGCTTGCCCCCAGGGGCTGGGGCCAGCTGCCGGGCATCGATGTTCAGGTCCCTCTGCACGCTCTGCAGCAGCTCCTCCATGTCCGGGTTTGGGGGCGGGGACCAGCCCTCGGCCCCGGAGGTAAGGGAGACTTCCCGTCCCCAGGTCCCCAGGGCCATCCCCCTCCCAGCCGCCTGGGGACCGCGCGGGGTGGAGGCCACGGCCCTCCTCGTGACAGCTTCCGGGGTGCCGGATGGGCGGAGCAGCGATGGACGAGGGCCCGGGGCTCGGACGCAGGCGGCTGGGGTAGGCCCGGGACCGAGGAGGGGAGGGCGGGGCGCTCTTACCCCTCCGCAGGGTCCCGCGCTCCGGGCGCGCCGGGGAGGACGCAGAGCGGTGCCTGCACCGGGCTCCACCGTGACGGGTCAGCTGACGCGGATCACGTGACCGCCCGGCTCGGAAACAACCGCACGTGGCTCCGCGGGGCGGGCGGGACCCCGCCTACCGCCCGCGCCGCCGCCCCGCGGGCCTCGTCCCCCTGCGGCCCCGCGCTCTGCTCCGAGCTGGTGGCGGTTTTGCTTCCTCCGGAGCTGAAAGGGGCCCCAATCGGCCCCAACAGCGCAGAGGAGTGGGTGCTGAACGGCCCACGAGATTGGCCCTCCTCCCCTCGCTGCTCCCTTCTGCACCAGCCCGAACACTGATCGAAGGGAGGGCTTTTTCCAGAGATAGAGCCCTAGGGGACTGATCTCCTCTCCCGGTTTTACAGATAAGGGACTTTTGACGACTTTGGATCAAGTCCCTTCATCGCCTCCGTACTGGCTTCCAAAAGAAGGAACTTTTAATTTCCCAAAACTTGTGTCATCAGGAACATTCCATTTGGCCTCGCAGAACCTAGGGAGGATGGCAGTTATTACTGTTTATATATTTTACAGGTTTTCACCAAGAGCCATCAAAGAGGTTTGTCCAGCCGACACCGGTTTGGCTCAGAGCGTCGGCCTGCGGACTGAAGGGTTCGATTCCGGTCAAGAACACGTCCCTTGGTTGCCGGGCACATCCCCAGTGGGGGGGGGGGGTGCAAGAGGCAGCTGGTCGATTGGATTTCCTCTCTTGGAAATATTGTTCCAAGCAGCAGGCAGCTGGTGCAAGAGGCAGCTCTCTCTCGTCGACGTTTCTAACTCTCTATCCCTCTCAGTTCCTCTCTGTGTAAAATCAATAAAATATATATTTATTTAAAAAAAAAAAAAAAAGAGGTTAGTTTAAAAAAAAAAAAAAAAAAAAAAAAAACCCACAAGTGGCAGAAGGGAGACTTTGAAGCTGGTGCACACACTTTCTGCCCTGAAGTCCTCCCAACTGGCGGCTCTCTTCCAGCCCCCTCCCCCCACACACTTTTTTTTTTTTTTTAATTCCTGACGACCTATAGGAGAGTAGTGGCCCAGGCTCAGAGGCCTGGCGTTCTCAGGAGGAAATGTTCCCTAAGACTTCCTGTTTGAGATCAGCTTCTGCCCTGCCAAGGAGCTTGCTTGCTGGGGCAGAGCCTTGCAGATACCACAATGGGGGGAGGTGCAGCCCAGGATAGTAAGTGAAAACCAGATTCCTGGCACCAATGCTACGGGACTCCTTCAGGGGGTCTTGGTTCTGACTCACTTGCAGGACAAAAAGGCCATTGTCTGCGGTGAAACCACTGGCTGTGTTTTGAGTCTCACCCCTAGAAGGTGGTGTAGTAGTTGTGTAGAGGGTTCCTTAAGGTCACTTAAGAAAAACTGAAGTCCAAATTAGAGAAGAGACAGGAATGGCTCTGCTATAATATGATTCCATATTTTTCTCTTTTTAAATTTTTATTTATTTATTTATTTATTTTAAAAGACTACCGGTATTCTTTTTTTTTTTTTTAATATATTTTGATTTTTTTACAGAGAGGAAAAGAGAGGAACAGAGAATTAGAAACATCGATGAGAGAGAATCATCGATCAGCTGCCTCTTGCACACCCCCCACTGGGATGTGCCCGCAACCAAGGTACAATCTTGACCGGAATTGAACCTGGGACCTTTCAGTCCGCAGGCCAATGCTCAATCCACTGAGCCAAACCGGTTTCGGCTCTCTCTCGTTTTTTAATCCTCACCTGAGGATACGTTTGGGGTTTTTTTTTGTTTGTTTTTGTTTGTTTCTTTGTTTGTTTTAAAGAATATCTGTTCTTTTTTTTAAAATATATTTAATTGATTTTGTACAGAGAGGAAGAGAGAGAGATACAGAGTTAGAAACATCGATAAGAGAGAGTCATCGATCAGCTGCCTCTTGCACACCCCCTATTGGGGATATGCCCACAACCAAAGTACTTGCCCTTGACCGGAATCGAACTTGGGACCCTTCAGTCCCCAAGCCGACGCTCTATCCATTGAGCCAAACCGGTCCCCGCCTGAGGATACGTTTTAATTGAGAGAGATAAACTTGGATATGAGAAGGAAACATTAATTGGCTGCCACCCTACCAGAGACTGAACCTGAAAACTACCGGTAAGTATGTGCCCTGACCGGCAATCAAACCCAAAACCTTTTGGTGTGCGAGTCAACACTACAACCAGCTGAGCCAGGGGCTGCTGTGTCCTCTTTCTTGAAGGGGCAGCTGGAACCCTTGAAGTGCTTGGTCATCGGACCTTGGTCATAACTTACAACCACTAATTAGGATCTAGGCACCATGCTAAACACTTCCCATACCTCGTTTTATTTAATCCTCATTAGGATTAGGAAAATTACTACCTTAGGTAACTTGCCCAGGGTCACATAGCTAAGAAGGTAGAGCCAGGATTCAAATCCAGGCCTATCTAAAACCAATGTTCTCTGTACTCCTTGGCCACAGCACTATTATTTTTTCCAGCTGGGAATCTCTGTCAATCTCTCATCCCCAATTGGGTCTGTGAACTTGAGACTAGAGGATGGATTTTGATGGTCAGGAGGTAGTACTTGCTTCTTTGTGCCCATAAACTTAGGTCCATTTGGTCTTTACTCTGGTCTCAGTTTACCTAGGCTGAACAGGCACTACTTTTTCTTTCTGTAAGTCTGTGTGTGCCCTGCCCTCTAGTGGTTTTGGCTTGCAATGCAACCATGACCTTGGGTGTAACTAACCTTACCTCAGAATTCCTTTTTTTTTTGTTGTTCATTATTCCATAAGATTTTCCTTTTAATTTCCACTTAAGTTATGTCTTTTCAATGCCAGAATATAAAAAGGAGTATTTAAAACATTTAGAGGTAGCTTAGATTCTAAAATGAATCTTACTGTTCTAGTAATAGCCTAACTCTGCAAAAACAGTGAGAGCAAAGAAGATAATTAACGAACTGGTTAGGATTAATGAATCATTCGGGGCCAGATCAACCTTAGTTGCCAATGAACAATATTTCCAAGAGAGGAAATCCAATCAGAATTCTTCCTTTCTCTTTAACAAGAAAGTCCTTGCAATGGTGAGCTCTGGGTGCACTAAGATTTCTGGGGCACTGACACCTTCCCCAGTCTGAGCCCCAAAACAGTGGTTTTTCAAACTTTGTTAAGTACTTCTGATTCAGTAGCCTGGGATGAAATCCAGGAATCAGAATTTTTATTTTTTGTTAATCCTCACCTAAGGATATTTTTTCCATTGCTTTTCAGAGAGAGTGGAAGGGAAGGAGGGAGGGAGGAACATCCACAGGAGAGACACATCCCACATGTGCTCTGACCGGGGCACAACCTGCAACCCAAGTATGTGCCCTTGATCAGCAATCAAACTCGAGATCCTTTGTTGTGCTGACTCTAACTATAGAGCAATACTGTCCAGGGCTGGAATCTGAATTTTTTAAAAATAATTTTAATGATTTCAGAGAGGAATGGAGAGGGAGAAAGAAATAGAAACATCAATGATGAGAGACAAACCATTGATTTGGCTGTCTCCTGCACGTCCCCTACTGGGGATCAAGCCAAAAACCCGGGCATATGCTTAACCAGCTAGGGCAGGAATCTGAATTTTTAACAGCACCCCAGGTAATTCTGATGCAGGCAATCTGCAGGCCATATCTTGAGATATAATGCTTTGTAACACATCTATTCCAAATTTTTCCTTGAATCCCAACCCAAGCACCTTTGGACTTTGGAGAATCTAGGACCAAATTAGCCAGCCCCCTTTGCCAACCTCAATATTGAGTGTCCTGGAGGTCATGGCTTGGGTAGTCAGGAAGGCAAGCTGCAGCTGCCCCGGCAGTCAGCCCATTCTGGGTAAGGTTGGCCTTTGCTGATCCGGCAGGGAGAAAAGTGAAGGCAGCTAATGTTTAACACACCAACTGTGGGCCAGTGAGCCTGGTGCTGTGCTAGGCATTTCCTTCTTTAATCCCTACAATGTGAATTTATTATTCATTCAATTTTGTAGATGAGCACACGGAGGCTCAGAGATGTTAAGTATATTCATCAAACTCAGGGCTGGTAAGAGCTAGAATTTGAATCCAAGTTTGTCTAACTCAGTGGTTCTCAGCTGGGGGCAATTCGGAATCCCAGGGACTGTTTGGTGATGTCTAAAGAGACTCTTGGTTGTCATGGGGAAGGGTCAAGTTGTGTTGCTAATGGCATCGAGTGGGCCAGGGATGCTGGCCCCCACACTACAGCCCCACAGCGAGAAATTATTCAATCCAAAATGTCAATAGTGCTGAGATTGAGAAACCCTGGATGGAAAGCCTGTGCTTTTGCCCTAGGGTAGGAGGGTGAGGGGATGAGAGTTAGCAGAACAAAAGAGAGACTAGCCTGCCACAGGGCCTTTGGGTGGAAAGGGGATTCGGCTTCTATGCTAAGGATAATGGGAATGGGTCAGCTGGTGAGATTTCTCTTCCTTCCAAGTGTGGCCAAGGCCCTGATCAGTTTCTCCCAACCTTGCCAAGTCATTCCTGGGACTTCACACTAAGCTTGTCCTGGAGTGACCCTGATTCCCAGCTCGGAGCTGGGGCAAAATATTTACTTAGGTCTTCCTGCTGGGCTTCCCAGCCAAAGCCGCTGGTTCCTGGGGCCGGTACTGTGCCACCTGCAGCCCGGGGAGGCACCACATTAGCTCCCTGGCTGTAGAGGGTAAGAGTGTGAAAACTGAAGCAGCCATGGTGGCATCTAAAAACAGAAGTGGAGTTAGAAGCAAGGCCAGGGCATTCTCTTAGTGGGTCCCTGTCCGGGGAGGCA